TTTATTATGTTCAATTAGGCAACATATAGTTTGAATTAAATTTCCTGGATAGTTCAAAAAGGTGAACAGTCATTATAGCAGAGTTTTAACAGAAACCTCGAAAACTGGACCATTTTTTGTCTCCTGGTGTCTCTGGGTCAGTGTGTTCTTGGTTCCAGTTGAGAGCACCAGGAACAGTGTTGACTGTAGAATCCTTGATGAGGAAACAATACGCCATCTTTCTTTGAGGAACTTGCTTATTGATCTGGGAATGAGCCCCCCATGCCCATCAATCTGCCCTGCCCCCCAAGACCTCTTTTGTAGAATGGATGCTCTGTGAGTTGTTGGAAGAAGGAGTGATAACGGGTCTGGGATAATGAGGCTTCTGGAAGAGCAGTTTTCCTGACTGAGCCGTGTATCTTAAGGTGGCTTGTGGAGCTAGGAAAGAGAACTCTTTGGAAATAGCGTCTTAAAGTAGCCAGAGGCTAGGAGCAAGGATAGGAACTTGTGGCTAACAGTCAATGTATGATTGTGTTATTTGATAGAAGGTAGTTATCACTGGAGAACCTTGGTATACAGACATGTTAAACTCTTATTTGATAATTACAGAACACATGTACATTAACTCAATAATGCTAAAGCTGTAGAAGGATCAAAAAAATTGCTCATATATTATAAAGAAGGATTCTGTAGTAAGAAATATTAAACATATCATTCAGGTTCACCCAGAAAGTTAAAGAAAATTTCATATTAAAATATTTTGGAGTACGGGGCGCCTGGGTGGCTCAGTCGTTAAGCATCTGCCTTCTGCTCAGGTCATGATCCCAGGGTCCTGGGATCGAGCCCCATATCGGGCTCCCTGCTGAGCGGATAGCCTGCTTCTCTCTCTCCCACTCCCCCTGCTTGTGTTCCCTCTCTCGCTGTGTCTCTCCCTGTCAAATAAATAAATAAAATCTTTAAAAAAATATTTTGGAGTACTGATTCCCATAGTGAAGTCATACTCCCTATACGTTATTAACTTACATAATTTTTTTGAAAGGGGTCATGTCTCCTTTATATAATCTGTATGTTATATAGTGTTAATACTTTAAACTGCTATGTTACCAGTAATCTCCCTACCCTCAATGCAACTGGCATGGGTCAAAAAACAATTAAGATTAGTCGATGGTAAGTTGGCAGAACTTATAACACTCTCTCCCGAGTACTAGAAAGTTAATTGGATAACACCACTGCATTTATCAGAGACTTTCAGCACTAAATACACAGCACATTTTCAAAAGGGGAGCTTTCCTATTTCTCTTAACTCCATTCTGGCTGTAGAAATTTGATCCATAAAGTTGGAGGCTAATAATAGGCAGTAAGTTATTATAGTTGCCCCCAGGCACTGTGCTGGATATTGGGGATACAAACAGAATGAAGACATTGGATCTAACTTTTGTAGAGAAGCAGTCATGGAAAACATTAGGATATTGAGTGGTAAGTTCCATAAGAGAGGAAGGTTCAAGTTACAGTTGGAACCCAGTGTGGTGGGTACACTTCCAAACCTAAAATGAGAGGTGGAAGAAGTAGAGGGAGAAGTGAGGGAAGTCTTCATAACAGGACGCTCTTTTGAGAGATGAGTAACAGCTCAACCTCTTGTCATGGGTGCAGTAGCAAATGGGAGGTGAAGAAGTGAAGATGGGAATAAAGAATATTCAAGTAGCTTTTCCCTGAAAGGAAGGAAAGAAAGGATAGGAGAAGGTGGAAGTGAGGGTGGGTTCTTTTTCAAGATAGAAGATGTTAAGCATATTTCCAGCCTGAAAGGATGAAACCAACAGAGAGGGAGAGTTCGAAGGTAGAGGAGAGGGAGAAAAGAGGTGGTGCCCACACACCTATGGGGTGTCAGAGAGGGAAGAGTCAGACCGTAGGAGGGAAGATTAGCTTTTGACATGACTGACAGCCCCAACTCCCAAGACCAAACAAGGAAAAATAAGTTGCAGCCCTGTTCATAAATACCTGCCAAATACAGTATAGACTGAAAATCCCTTTTATGATGTGATTTCATACCACTATTATTAATGTAACCTAGAAACCAGAGTCTGTAGGAAGGCACCACCTCCATTTGTTTCTTGCTCTTCAACTGTGTCTAAATTATGTCACTATCTCTGCCAGAATAAAGAAAGTAATCACGGTTAAGCTATGGATTTAGATTTCTCGATATTCTTGGGTAATATTCATGGTGACACCACAGGCTGCAAAGTTCCACACTGAGGGCTTAAAAATAGATTAAGGGGGGGGGATCGGATAAAGAATCCCATATGATATCCATTCCAGCAATGAGAGGCAATTACTACAGACCCATATAGAACAAAAAGGAAGTTTAACATGAGAAGACAGACATGCACCTTTTAAGGAAGGATCCTGCCACAGTGTTCAGAATGTTATGCCCTAGCTGTGAAATGCATTCTTAGGAAAATATCTGAATTTATTCAAACTCAGAGTACACAGCTTATTTTATAAAATGCCAGTTTGCTAGATGAGGAGATATAATTTCCTTTAAAAAAACAGGTAACATTTGAAAGCTAGATTATAAACTGTGTATTGAAAGCCGTCATTTTTAGGTTTGGAAAATTAACTCTGTGTGGGTCAGGCACAGTGTTAACTCTTGGAAATACAAGGACAGGCAAATCCTGGGTCCTCAAGAAACTTCCAATCTGGGGCAGAGTTTCTCAAACTGTATTGCATGGAATCATGAAGCATTGCTCTGCTTTAAAATGTTGACAGGAACTTGATCAGCACAATGTCCCTAAGAAATTTATTTAAATAAATTATTTAATTTGCTACAAGATTTCCCAAAGCCTTTATTATGAAAACTGGTCATGGGGAATCATCAAGAAGAGGATTTCCTTTACTACATACCTCTAAATTTATTGGACATGGAATTTTATCCTCAAAACTACAAACAATATCTTGTAAAACATAGAGATCCTTGCCAATGTAATCCTGGCCCCATATTAGCTACATCACCATAAAGGGGCACAGCCTTAACCATTTTTGTTCTACAAATAGGGTTAATATCTGATTAAACTGAATAATTCACACAACAGCCATTGTTCTTTCAACTAAAGGAAATCGATATAATAAAATGGAATACATCACTGCCTAGTGAATTTTTCTAAAATAAATATCTAATCCAAACGATCTAAGCCATTGTTAAGAATTTTTTTCCATGACTGATTTTAAACTGAATCAAGCAAATTATTGTCCTAATTTTCACTTGACACAGAAAGAGATGATATTTTTCCTTGCCTTTTTGATCAGGGACCACAGATAAAAGAGGAAGAGTGAAAGCAAATATAGCCAAAAGGAATAGCAAACAAGTAGAATCTCAGGTTGTCAGGCAGCTGGTCTAACAGTGTTTGTTCATCCTTTCCTTGTAACTGATGTCCTGAAGACACTGCTACCCTTTACAAAGTCTTGTTCTAATGCAATTCCCCCCTACTCCCCCAGTAAACCCCACTTGACAATGTGGAAATTTGTCTTTAAGTGGGTAAGTGAATTGCTTAAAGGAAAATATTCAGGACCTGGCCTTTTTCTTCTTTTTATATTCCTGAACATCAAATTTTCATGTTTAGCAATTAAATTAAAAAAATGAAATGGTAAATTCCACACACGAGATTAATCAGTTAAGTGCTACTCAAAATATTGAAGTTTGTCTCCAATAGTTTTTTTTTTCTTCTTTTTCCTTCCAAGCAGTGTATGCGCATTAAAACTCAGGAACTGTTCTACCGAAACAAACCAATGGCCCACTTAGCCTAGAATCCAGCTTCCAACAGCAGTTAATAGCCAGTGCTTCAAAGGAGGATGGAAACATTTGATAATGATCTCTATCTAGTGGAAAAACTCTACCTCCTACAGAATGAATACTTTCAGATGGCATTGAAATGTGGAATGAATCTGATTTTAAGCAGGTAGCCCCAAGTCTTTAGTTAATGCCCTATATTATTTTAAAACATACTTTTGTCAAGTCAATACAGAACCAGTGGTGCAAACCTGATCCTAAAAAGAATCAAGCTATCAACCCAAAGCTAAGAGATGTGAATCTACCGATTATTTTGCAGAAAATTTGTTTCGCTTCAGGACTTAGAGTGACAGTTATTCTCTCTTACTCGTCTTTGCATTTTTATCTCCTAACACAGTTAGGAGAGCCAAGATGTATTTATAGAATTACATCAAATATGATTTACCCTTAAAAATGAAACTATCCATTGATGGAGGTTTTCATGTCATATATGCATATGTGAATGTGTGTGTATAAAGTCAATATATGTATTTACATATAGGTTTTATATATACATATATATACATACACACATTCATGCCCATGGTGTTTCAGTAGTTTCAACATCAACCTGAGGCTTAAACATAAATGGATTCACATCTTCCAGGACCTCATGTGAGTCGAGAGGTTCACAGATGGAGGAAAAGAAAAGGAAAAGTTGTTTCTATTCATAAGTGCAGCATTCAGGACATTACAGTTCAAGGGAGTTGTGATATATAGCTCTTTGATTTCCACCATGAAATGCGTTCACATTATTGTACATCCCTGGGACCAGACAGTCCAATTAATTCAAAATCCATGCATTGGGTCTGACAGACCCAGTGGTCTTATTTGGGGATAAATGTTGAAAATGCCAACTTCATAATATGGCAAAACCTGATTTCTCTCTCTTAAAGGCACCACAAACCATTTATTGATTTTTTAAAAAAGAGAAATAAGAAGAATCATGTACCAATTGAATAGGAAGTCAGACAATCCAATTACAGTTATGAGACTGAAGCATTGGGTCTGACAGGATCACTGATTGCAAACGACGGCCAGAAAATGCAAGGGAATAGCTGGCCAACTGCATGCATATACCCAACGATGTGTCTCCCGGAGCAATGAAGTAGCTAAAATGAATAGTCATGGAAGGCCAAAGGCCACAATTTTATGACCTATTTATGGTAGTCATATTGAACTGTATTATACATTGGAAAGTTCACCAGTGGTCAGTGGCCACCGAGGGAATTTTGTTTCGATTATGCACTACTGTTGAATGATCTTGACCATCTGAAATCTGTACGTAAAATGAAATTATTTATTGTGCCGGACGAAAACTGACCTCTTTCAGCTCAGCAGCACAGTCTTTACTCTGTGGCTTAAACTTTATCCATCATCATCCAATATTTATTGATTGTCCATTTGATTCATAACATTATATAAAGGTGCTGCCAGAAAAGCTTGTTGAAATAAATCACAGAAAGATTTGATCCCTAGACTCGGAGAGGGGTGGGAGTTTGTTAAGCAGATAACCTAGAAGTGATGGTCTATGAGAGAAAACAGGTTATTTTTGAAATATATATGTGACAAAATTTAACCATTCCCTTTATCTCCATCGCATCCAGCTCCGCTGAATACTAGCCAGTAGCCCCCTCCCACGACCATTGAGATGAGAATTCTCAGAATGATGCCCTCTCTCTGGATGGTGGGAGAACATGAAGGGTTGGCAACCTCTGAAGCCATCCTTAGAGGAGGTGAGCTTTGCTTTCCTAAAGCAGCCCACTCCCTCCCCTTGTAAGATGTGAGCTAGTCGCTGTTGTAGAAGCAGAAGAACCTCCTTTAGATTGCTTACATTTGGGTTGTTTGGGCTCCATTTACACAGGAAGAAGCCAAGCCTGTCTCATATCTCTTGTCTCTCTGTGGTGGCAGAAAGTTTGTAAGGACCTCTGATAAGAAACAAATAAATGGAAGTTCAGTTTCTAACCCCATCTGAATTCAGGGCTCTGTTTTCCCATTAATACGGAGAAGCTGCTGCTGCCATGGGATGCAGACAGGGAAGAGGACCTGTTCAGAGTTCAGCAAGGTCCGTTAGACCCAGGGCCCAATGTCTCTACATAAAATTAAATGCAATCCCCTGCCGCTCCTGGGGTCGCTGCAATCATGGGCTATTTCCACACTCCCTATCTGTAGAGTCCAAGGAACTGTGAAGCATTAACTCTTTGACCCTAGTTCCTAACGCTGCCTTGTAGACATCTCAGATACTGTGGGAACCTAGAAAGTAAAAACCATGCTTCCTCAATCTTGTAACCTGAGTTCAGAGATACATTATCCGATTATTCTACCATAGCTTTTCCTTGACCCCTTGTGATCCACACCAGCTGCCTAGCAGAATTCTACCTTTTTTGATGCACTG